AACAAACAACTACTGAAACTTCATATGTTGATGTTTTATCGTCTAGGGAAAAAAATCAGAAAATCCTCAGAGGGGGGTGGCAACCAACCACCACCCCCACCACTCTTGTATGTCCGAGGGTTAATGAAACATGGATTAATAAAACATGGATTGATAAATCATGGATTAATAAAACATGGTTGATAAAACATGGGTTGATAAAACATGGATTAATAAAACATGGACTGATAAATCATGGGTTGATAAAATATGGGTTAATAAAACATGGATTGAAAAATCATGGATTAATAAAACATGGGTTGATAAACATAGATTGACACTATTTCTCTTTTTTGCCGGAAATTCCTTTTGACCTTTGATCGAAGATTCGTAGCCTACGTGCAGACGTCCTATTTCCTATTTACTTTATTGCACGAATTCTTCGTTTGATAAAATGAGAATAAAATTGAGATAAGATGCAGAAATTCTGAATTTGGTAAAATGAATATAAATCAGCCAAAATCCACCGCACTGAGCGAAGATGCAGATATTCTGAACTTAGTAAAATAAACATAAATCAGCCCAAATCCACAGTACTAAGCTAGGATGCAAAAATTTTGCTTTTGATGAAGTGAAAATAGATCAGCCAGATCCAAATTCCACTGCATTGGGATAGGATTCAAAGCTATCATTAAGGGCCGTAACCTACAATACCTGATACGGGTGATGAAAGTGGAAGTCTTACGATGGCTAAGCGGTCATGCGCCAGCAACCTCGGGAATTGTCAACTGACCGCTTAATACAGGTTGACGGTTTTTTTTCGCTCCATGTAAGGGAATCCGGAGATTTATTGCTTGTGGAATCCGGAATCCTGGAGGTGATTTTGCTTATGGAATCTGGAATCCTGAGTTTTGGAATCAGGAATACCGCTCACGATTGGAATCCAGAATCCAAGTTTTACTGACAAATACTGGAATCCAGTACCTCAGTGGAATCCGGAATCCACAGCGTGGAATCCAGAATCCAAGACTGTCCCGGATTCCGTAATCCGGGAACTTTTTGCTTGTCGAATGCGGAATCCTGGAGGTGATTTTCCTTATGGAATCCGAAATCCTGACTTTTGGAATCCGGAATACAGCTCAAGGAATCCGGAATCCACAGCGTGGAATGCAGAATTCAAGACTTTCCTGAATTCTTTTACATGGGACTAGAAAAACCTATGAGTTAATCAAGAAAATAAAGATGGTGGCAAAGCGTGACATCCAAATACCTCAAGGTATCTCTACTTCTTCTTGTGCCCAAAGAAGGTAAGTAAAACAGACCACTGAAAGGACATGCACAATGTATCTATTTCCTTACTGGTAAGCTGGTTCTAGACCAAGTGACCGTAGAGGTGAAGAAAATAAATAAATGAATAAATAAATAAATAAAAACTCGTTGCGACCTCGAAAAGAGTGACCGCGGTTGCTTAGTAGAGGTGACCGCCCTTACAGTAATAAAGGGAAGTGATTTCCAGGAATTGGTAAGTGAGTTCTTAGGTTGACTTAATTCAGGTATGTCTGTTCTGTTGCAAAATTTCTCACCGGAATGAAATTCTTGTTCGTCTCCGGTACAGCAACCAGGCCGAATTCGCGCCGGTATGACTCGTTCCTGTATGACATTTTCTGGTGGTATCATGTAAATACTGAAATACAGAGAGTGAACCGCGGCGGAAACTCGCCCTAATACAAAAGTCGTCCCATGTATCATGTAAACACACTCCACTTCATAAGGAGGCTCGGTGAAGCTAGGTAAACCGCCACCAGGAGAGGTTTAGAAGAGTGTTATGTCAAAACAGTTTAAAAGTGTCTTCGTCACCGTTTTCCAGTTTCCTGAAAATCACCGGGAGTATGGATGTGACACGTTGAGTTTACACAGTGGCTTAACATGTATCGCTTCATCGAGGATCAAACACACTTTTAGACCCCAATCCTCCCTTGTTCTGGGTTTCTTTTGATGGTTAAGAATTGAATTGTCACTTTTTGCATTGTTCCATTTCGCGTTAAAAAAATTGTTACATTATGCGTTAAAACTTGCCACATTTGGCGTTAAAAAGTTCGTAAATCTTACGTCAAAAGTTAACTTTCTAGTTTGTGTTGCATTTTGCGTAACACCTCGTTCCATTTTGCGCTAATTGTTACATAGTGGGGCGTAACAGAATGTATATGTTCATTTTAAACGAAGTCGAAACACCTTGACGTGATAGTTTGAAGCCAATGCCAGGTGAAACAATTAAGCGCGAATGTTATCGACCTGCAAAATGCTCCGATGTCAATTGGTCTCCAATGGCCTGCAAGTTTAACAAAATCACCAAATCATGATATATTCCGATTTGAATTCAGATTGTACTTTCATTTTTTCTTTTACCGGTTCTTGGCCAGTTTTTATTCGATTTTGTGTCTGTTCCTCAAAACAACATAGATGTAAACCAGGGTCAGAAAAGCGTTGTCAAAGAAACAAAAATCATGGATGAAAGAATGGAAACATGTCATGTTTGTTACCCATGCCGTGAGCACAGCGTAAGTCTTCCATCGAAACCGTTTTAGGATGGATAAAAAGCGAAGTAAAATAATTATAAAAAAACTAAGAAGTCGGCGGTTTTGTAATTTTTTGAAGACCCACAAATTTCATGCTGTGTCTAAAATTATTTTTCGCCAAGTTCTCAATAAATTGGCCAGACTTATGCTATTGAAATTCTAGGTGAAAAAAAGATTGGATATTATATAACACGCAAAGCTTTTCCTGACCAAGTTTGAGAGATATTGCTTCTTTTTTCAGTAGATTTTAGACGCATTTCAACTTTGTCATTTTCTTCAAATTGAAGGTCTACGCGCTGTTGACGAAAAAGTTGATTGTCCCACATTATGTTACGACAAAATGATTAAAAAATCAACTTGGTGGGTGCCTTGCCCCCGCCTGTACAGTTTTTACAAGCTCAATTTGGCTAATTTATCATCACGCGAGATTTGGTATAGCGGTGTAGTGTAACTCCTACTCGCTTTCCCCGATTGCGATTTTCGATTAGCATTTAATTCTGCATGCTTTTGTTAATTATCTGTAACACAGAGAAAGTGCTTGAATACAAACTTCTCTCTTACTTCGTGTTAAACGCAACTCTTAAACTTGATGGCCAAGATATCTTAGGCCAAGAAATATTATTTTGCTTCTAGTTAGTTTCAAAACTTCGTGCTCTTTCGATATCGTATGGCTCAATGACAGAAAACGTATCCGAGTAGCTATAGTTGTAAATACAGAATTTAATCGTTATTTGCCTTTGAAGAAAAATGTTTCCAAGGACTGTCTCTCAACTAAGGTTCCCACTCTCTATTTATTCAAAATTTCTATCGTTCGCAATTTTTTTGTATAACCGAGTACAACGCAGAACGCAGAAACTGCAATATACAACTGGATTTCTCAAAATGGCTGATTTAAAAATGTGGCGGTTATTCCTTTTTTATCCTCCTCTACGCACGTCAATCATTCGCCAGTTCTGCGCATGATCGTGCTATCTAGGGTATTTGATTAGTGCGATTTCTCTTCCTGATATCATGTTAAGATCGCGTCCACTCACTGACCGTTACAAGGACTATTACCATGTACAGATATTTAATGTCGGTTCTTTGAAGCACAATTTCATTTGAATGTTTGATAATAGATGAAAGAAAACATCGACAATTTTAATAAATGGAAAATGTGCTTACATTTATCTTTATCCTGCTCGCTAACTTGACAAGTGAACTTAATTTTAGAAAATCTGAGTTGAAATATTCGGGGCCATGAAGGGAGCATTTAAGTTTTCTAGAAGTAGCTTATAGAATTTGCTCCTAAAAGCAACTGAAGCTTGTCATCAAGGGAGGCACTTTTATAACTTGAATGAGAAATAGATATGTTTGGACGATGAAAACAAAAATCCATAGGAAGGCCCACCGAATTAAGCAAATGCCAATTTCATGGTATTTGCTATAGTGTCCCAAAAGTGTAATTACACGTAGAAAAAAATGCCAGTGCTTTTAATTATTTTTGTTCATCTTAAAGTCAGCTGTGGCTTGATTCCTTTCAAGTTGGAATAACGACCAGAGAATGAATTATTGTGAATTGGGAAAGCCAAAAGTCAATTTTAATCTTCAATATTTCAACAAACGAACAAATTATTCGCTGCATGGAAGACGCTCGCTTCTACATTCGTTTATTTAAAAATATAATATTTGCATTATGCAAAGGTTTGAGTTCCGACAGAACTGCTAGCAACTACACAAAGATTACAGCTTAAACTTGACTGGTCCTTGACACGGTTTAAAAAAGAATTAGTGTCACATTTAATTAACATAGGGCAAAAAAGAAAAAATATTATAGTACGTTTTCTTCATTTTTAAGTTCATTATAAGTTGACACGTCAAACCCTGAGCAAGGAGGCAAGAGGTTAATAGGTTCGTAATATTAGTTTTTCCCCAAAGAATATCTTTCCCTGAACGCAAATGACCTTTTATCTTGTTATAGGAGGAATGAAGGAATGTGAAAAAGGTGGGCAATTTAAATTTCTAAAAAACAAGCAAAACAAAAACAAAACCACTACACGCAAAATTTTAAAAATGGTTCTTCTTCCTGCCGTGAACAAAAAGCTTTAAGTCCGTCAAAAGTGACATTTCTGATTTTCGGAACACCTGTCACAGGATTTCTGTCTTTTACTGCCCTTTTTTGTGACACATACGTATTTACGCTGTTTCTCAACGATGCCTTTCTTCCTTTTCGTCCAGTCTAGTTCCCTAAAAAAAATGACAAATTAAGTATAAAAAATAGATCTTTTGATGACTGAATTAAGAGTGGGGAAGAACGGCTAACTTGTTAATATGGCTACAACCAATAAATATGCAAATACGGCTCGCAGTCCCTGATATATCATACAGCCCGACCCTGAAACCACGCACACTCTTTCACCTTTTCTTACCAGTAAAGTAAATTTTTTCAACAATATCGGTGTGAGCATTAGCTTTGATGGAAAAATAGTATTTCACATAAAGATGAAGATACGAAAATTAACATTCGTCTTTTTAATGGTAACAGTTCACGATATTATGAGTAGACAGCGCTGGGTGGATAGGTTTCCAGGTGCAATGGGCGATAGTCTTGGAGAAGAAACGTCTTATAGTCTTGGCGGAGAGAACAGTGGAAGCCGAATTGAATCAGTAGTAGAGGCACTTCGCAAAGTTGCAGATGTTGAACGACAGCTACATGAAAACAAAGGCTGTAACAAGGTTGATCTGTTGAATATAACATTCGACGAACGACGATGGAAAAAAGAGGCGCTTTTGACCGTGCAAGTGGCTAACTTGCTGACTTCGTTATGGCGCGCTGCCGGAGATAATGGTTATCCTGTAGCCGCAAACGATGCTCTGCTTTACCATTACGTCCGCTCAATCGTGTTATTTTCGCCTTCTGTGTTTGGATCAGTGATCTGCTTTGACAACAATTTGTACAAAAACTACACACGATTTTGCCCGTACGCCTTTCGAGATTCGGACCTAAACGGGAGTGTTCATGTGTTTGATATAGCCAATGGGGATTATGACTATACCACTGATCCAAACGCAATCTGGTGGCACAAACCCAAAAACAAGGCTCTCACCTTCAAACCCGCAAAATCCTCCAGCATGTACGAGGAGCGTTTCAACGCAACCGCGAAAAAGGCGAAAAAGACAGTGGTAGTTCCTCATGTAACGTTTGAAAATGGAACCTGGACTCGACCTTATTTCGACTGCTTTGGAGGCAAGGTTTGGATGGTCACATATCTCGCGCCATTTTTTAATGAAACAGATGAATTTCTGTAAGTATCAGTATTTCCTGTTGAATTCTGCTGAGTGTTTTAGTTAGATGCCTTCTGATTTTATTGCGTAAAATTCAGCAGTGAAAAATAAACAGAAGAAAGGGAAAGTAATTAAAGGTTTCGTTGCCAGGTATAATATTATTTATGATGACAATTAAATCTATTCTAGTGCGACTGTTTTATTGCGATTGCAGATAATTCACCCATCACAACAAGAACTACTCTAAAAGTACAATCGGTCAGGCGTTTACTTTTCTTTTTTAATTCAAAAAGTGGAATTCTCCGCTTGTCTGCTTAAACTGAACTGTAAATGTAAATTTTAACTTGTTATTTTTAATATTGACATGCGTCTAACAAGTTAAATAGTCAGATATATTTTGCATAATTTGCTTTCATAAGGATTACACCCGATTAATTTCGTTCTGTTCTGCTGAAGTTTGGATTATCTGCTTCAATATAGTTACGACTGCATTTTTTTCCGTAAGAAGACGTCATTTTAGGAACATTTTGGCACAAATTTCTCGTAGCACAGAGGGTGGAATTCTGAAAGAAGCCCCTCCTGTACTATACTCTAAAGTCTCCTACATCCTTTATCTTACTGTATTCTATGCCTAAATGATCAGATAAGATCTGCACCCAGTAAGTGACTCCATCGCATTTCTTGATTCCATTACTACCATTAAAGTTAAGTAACCACGATAGCACGAAAACAAGGAATATGCTATCTTCAAAAGAATCGAACAAAATCGTACGAGGAGAACCTCAGAATTATTAAAAGACTAGTAATAATTGCAAATTAGGGGAGTGCGTTCGATGGGGAGGGGGAGGGTGGTGGGTAGTTCGTGGTAGTACCAAAATCGTACGAAGAGAACCTCGGAATTCTTAAAAGAAAATCGTTTAAATAAAACACTACTTAAATGGACGAATGAGACTGATTAGCATTTTCTTTAAGAATTTCATTTGTAACACCCAGTGACATGCTCAACTGCGCCACCTGCATCATCATCATATAATAATAACAATGTATTTATATAGCGCTTATTCCTTAAGAGTCCGCAAGCGCTTCACATTAATAAAAAAAATTGAAAATATCCCTAAAAAATAAAATATAACTTAAATAAAATCTCAAAATCTTGGGACCAATCTCTAACGTAGTTACGTTCATAAAAAGGTTTCTTTTCATCAGGATATTTCATCTGCATCATTTTTTTTTTTTTTTTCAAAAAGGAAAAAAAAAACTTATACCTGTTTATACAGCAGTAAATTTCCAATAGGCTTTTTAGAGTTTGTAAAAACCATTTTTTTTTTTTATCAAAATGTTGAAGCGGCTTTTAATTAAAAGCTTGATAAGATCCGAAAAACTGACATCTCATAAGTGCATGCCTAATTATTTAGCTTTATGGACGAAAGGTAGGTGTTCTTGTTAAAGTAAAACTCATATAACCATCCAATTGTCATCAAGAGGTAGTAAAGGACCGTACACTGTTCTTTCCACTTTGTTGATAGGCAAAATTAGCGAACTAACGAAAGAAAAAAAGAAAGAAATGTCTCGGATAATGTAGCGAACTACTCTATATACGCATTAGATAAAATGGAAACACCGATAATGTTCAAACCATAAAGTCAACAGTAGGATTAAAACAAAGTATATGCATCTTTCCAACCTCGCATTTGAAGTTATCACATTACTTATTACTTTTCAGTTATCTGAATAGGTGTTATTTCGGAGAAAACAGGTGCTTTTCCTTCAGCTTTGTCAAGTTGTAAATGATGGTCAACAGAATTAAAGTTATCACTGTGGAGATCCTACGCATCCTAGGATCGAATTTTACTAGCAGCTGCGCTCTCCATTAGCTGCCCAGCAGTACATCTTTTCTCATTAATATCACTGCAAATTTAAAAGGCCTGTTTTAGCCCGAATTCATTGGGTGTCGTTGTCGAGTAAACTGCAGAGTACACCGTTGGGGTTATTGGTTCATAGTAATTTCGACCTTAAAATGAAGCTGATTTGGACCCATTGGTCTAAATACGTTCCAGAATGGGATGAGACAGTTAGTTTTTACAAGAGCTTTTTGGCTCAAATCGAATTCAAATGACTCACTCAGCGAGAGGCAGTGAATCAGAGGCCTTAGGTCCGTAAGTGCTAAGGTGGCATTTCTGGCTTTAAGGCTTTAAGCAGTAACATTGTCTCAACCCTTTAAAGGACTAATCACACTTTTCCTTCTTTGTCCAGTGGTGTGGTCAGCATTGATGTGGTTCTTAGTGATATCGACATCAACCAATGTGATAACCAATACACCTCTGAACAACGAGACAAAGAGAATTTAATAGAGTTTATGGGAACTCATTTGTGCAAGCCATCAACAAAGGCAAGAGCATGTGAATAAAGACATTTGAAAATACATTTGATCAATCAATCCCTAAACGGCGTATTTTTAAAATGGAAAAGCAAAAACACATACGGTAGAGCTGACTAAACGTCATTTCTTTAGGGGAATCCAAGATACTTGATGATTTTAGATTGGTTAAAATTACGTCGGGAGAGACGAAAAATCCAAAAACACCCTTCTAGGCGAGATTCAGCGGGGAAGCGAATCCGTGCAGTAGGGAACATACGATTCATCAACCTTGAAATCAGGTTTTAGATTCAATCTGATAAATCCTTTCGGAGTTTGGTTTCTTGAGATTCAAAACACATTTTGTGGACTTCCCTTCAAGAGTCCACACAAAAAATTATAAATAGGTGCCAAGGTTGTTCATAGGCCAATACATACCATATTAACATATTAAAATATTCACCCATTTATGGCATAAATTCGAGACAATTCGAAATAAAATTGGTCTCTTTAACCTTTTTTACCTTTAAAAAAAATATATATATATAAGATATTTAGAAAACTATACGAGGAAGACTTATCATGATTATACCATCGATCGTATTCTGCAGGTCTAGCCAGTGCGAAAAAAATCTCTCCAAATTACTTTCAGATTTTAGAAGCATTGGATTCATGTTAGTTTGTTTTCTTACTCTCCGATACAGTGTGAGACGGTTATTAACCAAGGATTCAAGAGGGGAAGCTATGTTTGCACATGCAAACGTGGCTTCTACTTCCCAGACACACTTGCTCCAGAAAAAGCATTCAAGGGCTCTGTTATTGAACGTGAACATGATCGGATGCTCCGAGGAGAACCGAACGCCTACGAAAATAGCTTCGACTGCCGTCGGTGCAGTGAGGGATGTGACGAGTGTGTTGATGGCAGTCCATGTATTTACACTTTGAAGATAGTGATCCGACTGTTACTGTGCTGTCTAAATGGTGCTGTTATGGTTTTGACGATAGTGTTTGCTGTGTACGTGGCTCTCCACTGGAAGGATAAGGTATTTAAACAAAGAATATCACGTGCGCGGTATGACTGCATCGGAAATGGCTTTGATAAATTTGCTTTTTTTAACAGCTTGCATCCGACTACACTACACATTTTAGAATGAGAGGTGCGCCAGAAAGATGCGCACATCCCTCGACTTATCTGATACCCGCGTTTAACTTTCTAGGGACAAGTCAAATACTCGATAGATTATTTCTATTATTCATTACTCATTTGCTTCATCCGCAGTTCAGACATTATGTATGTTTCTTGTATTCAAATTCTACTTAAGTCAGACATTAAGACAGCCAAATAAATCAAATGTACGATAGGTGGAGGACTGAGTCAAACCACCTTAAAAGGCTCACCTAAGCTCATTTTATACACTCGGGGTACTTGGAGCCTGTTACAGAGAAAACATCAGGTATTAAGTCAGTTAAGAACGCAACAATGCTATAGATCTGGGTCGAAGACAGATAGAAACTTATAGTTTATGGCCCCACGTAGCCTTATAATATACTACTAGGCCCATTTTCTTGGTGCGCCTTGTTTGTAAACCATTACTGGTATTTGCAGACAGATTGCCTGGGTGTAATCAAGGAATAACTTCATTCTGTTTTTCTTCTTCCTCACTAGATTTTTAAGGCCTCGAGTCCCCGCTTTATGGAGATCATTTTACTGGGTGCTATGCTAATGTACTCAACGGTTAGTACTCAAACTATATCCCGTCGTCAACCTTTACCATTCTTGCGGGTTATGTTCTGCTCTCTATAGTTACCTTCCTCCTAAACCCATTTATTAAGTAATAAAGGTAGTACGCTCGCTCTGATTGGCCGAGAGGCGTGTTTGCATGAGAGTATGTAACATGGTTGTGACGTCAAGATGTTTTGCTTTTTGGGCGGTAATCATGCAAACACGAATTTGAAATCGACAATTTCACTTAATTTACCCTTTTCTTCGTCAACCGAAACTTGGAAAATCTTTACAAACATGCTGTGCCAATTTTGGTTTCGCTTAATTTGACATTTTAAGCGAGCAAAATCCATATTTTTGAAAGCATCTTTTTGCAAAACAAGAACTGATTTCGCGCGTAAGACTTCGTGTACAAGACTTCGTGACTGGTAAGAATTTCTCTCTTAATCAGTGCCATAACAAAGGCTTTGCGTTTTTTCTCAGAAAGTCAATTTATAAAAGCAATAGAAAACTTTTACCTGTATTTGCATAGACTGAAATAAACTCGACAGGGGTTGGGAGAATTCGAGACAGTTATCCAAACCCGAGACGAAGTCGAGGGTTTCTATAACTGTCGTGGATTCTCCCAACTCCTCTCGTGTTTATATCAGGCTTTGCAAACACGGAAAACGTTTTCTATTGCTTAAATAGCAATGCAGTCGACCCTCCACTAAAGGCCACCTCTCCACAACGGCCACTTTTTTTTGTCCCACCGGACAGTCCATACATTGACTCTTGTTTAAATCTCTTTACAACGGCAACGGCCAGTAAAGGGTGTCCCCAACTGCCAAAATAACCTCTCGACAACGACCAGATTTTCAGGTGACTGATGAAATGGGCAAAAATGGTCGCAAAATTTGATCCGTATAGCGCGATGATTAATCGTGGCAATGGTATTTTTTATTGTGCCAGGAACCCAATCGTCTACCGTACTTATGGCGAGTGTTGCGAACCAAATGCTCGTTTTGCGTATTTAGCATTCGAAACATTATTCAAGTTTTTTTTGTTTTATTTTATCTATATACATTGTATATGATTGGATACAGTAAGCATGAACTCAGCACAAAACGTGTTGTACTCACTCAAATAAAAAATTCATATTACTCCCCTACCTTCTACCTTAGCGTATTAGTAGTACTGTAGGGAACGATTAGACACCTTTTCTGAGTGCCAATCTCATTAATTTTTTAGGGATACTTTATCGTCGATAATGTCATAGCCTTTTGTTTTCATCAATAAAGTCCGGAAAATCTCATTAAGATAAGGTCATGTGCTATTTATGGGTGGTTTAACCCGTTGGACAGGTTTTCTAATTATTTCTAGGTCGATAGATGTCTTGCCTTTTTGATTGGTTGACTAAAAACTGAGAAAAGTGTTCATTGGTTGATTCGTGTTCAATAAGCGTCAGTGAATTGAAATCACCGATTCGTAACGTAGTCATACAAGTTCTATTTCTTGCCACTTTCATTGTGCAACAAGTTTTTCCACTTGCGATTCACTGATTCTTGGCTTGCAAATCGTGTAAAGTAGTGATTTTGAAAACAAACTAGCTTTTTCTAGCACCAAATCAAACTTTTCACTTACCCTTTCCTGTCTTCTACTATTCAGTTACTTCGCTCCTCCTCATTTTGTTTTATTTTCCCTCCACCACCATCACCACCTCACTTTTATTGTTTTTCCACCACCATCAACACTAAATTTTTATTTAATTTTCTTCACCACACTAACAAAAGACTTCAATTGTTTTCCCTAAAGCACCACCACCACCACCACAATTTCTATCTTCTCTACCAACACCAACACCACCACCATATTTTTATTGTTTTCCCTGCACCACCCCTATCAGGAACACAATTCAGCTGTTTTCCCTAAACCACCACCACTCATGTGTATTCTTTTACATCCACTGCCACCACCACCACCACCACCACCACCACCACCACCACATTTTTATTGTTTTGCCTCCACCACCAGCAACACACTGCAAGTTTTTCCTCTACCACCACCACCACATTTCTATTGTTTTCCCTCCACCACTCCCACCAGAAACACTCGCCAACTGCTTGCCCTAGACTACCACCACCACCCATGTGTCGTGTTTTGCATCGACTGCCATCACCTCAACCACATTTTTATTGTTTTCCTTCAACCACCACCACCACCACGATCATACCCTGCAAGCAGTGGTTTCTCCAGGCCGGAAGCTACGCTACGAAGGGAGAGAAACCACTGCGAGCATCCGTCAGCTTCTTTGATCGAGCCGCTGTCCAGCCCTATGGAGGAATAAATTAACTTTAATCATGTAAATCCTGTTTGAAAGCAAGGTCAGACTCTCGCGTATTTGCTTACGCTTACAATTGCTGCCTTACCGCGAGCCTGCTGTGGATATTTAGTATTTCTTTGGATTATTTATTCCTATCTACTCAGTTACTTTGTCAAATGTAGGCGAACCCAAATGGAGTTGAATTCCAAGGGACCATATCCAATTTCAAGAGCGAAAATAAGAACAAATTTCGTTGTTGCTTGTTTGCGTTATCCATAAAACGCAAAATTAGGCATTTTCACGTCGTGGTGGTGCAAAAATAGCAAAGAAATGCAAAAATAAAAGCGTGATGCATGTGCAAAGTTGTTGTTTTGCTTATTAAACCTATTGTTTTGTTGAAGTTCTCGTTGCCGTCTTGTCGTTGGATATTCGTAGTCATCACGTGGACGCACATGCTCGATGGAAAAGCAAACGGTTGCTCGCAGTGTTTCCTTTCCCATGGAAGCATAGCGTCCGGACTGGACAAGCCACTGCTCGCAGGGCACCACGATCACACTTCTATTAGTTTTCCTCCTCCACCACGTTCACATTATCTACCCCACATTGACTCTATATTTGCCGTACATCGCCCCCCACATCAGCCCTACATCGACCCTACATCAATCTAACAATAAAAAGAGAAGAAGGAGGAGGAGGGGAAACATTACAGAGAGTAATCGAATTAATCATTTTTTATCACAGTTAGGTGTCCTTATGATCAAAAGTAGACGTGTCTTTGGTACTTTCTATTCGCAGCTCATCGTTTCGTACTTCAAACCCACCGACATCAGCTGTGTTATGAAACCTTGGCTGCAGCACATTGGCTTTTCACTCGTTTATGGACCCTTGGCTCTCAAAACATGGAGGTATTGCAAAAAATCTGTTTATTAACGTAAGATTCCAGAATTCTTGATTTTTCTTAATGATACGAAAACTGCTATTGGTTACACATAAAATGTTGGGATAGGTATTTTCCAGCATCTGTACCCTTGCCTCACTTCTTCTGGCGATACAGACATTTGCGGTATTTAAAACCAGTCCCATATTTCAGGTGGTGATTGTAGAGTGAATAAATAGTCCGCCATTATGAGGAAGGTCCAATGATAGCTATACAGTGACGCGCAGCCACTACATTTTCCACGTATACCGGGGGACCTGTTGTCATTTTAAAATTGTTCCAACCTTGAATTATACTGGAAAGCTCATTTTTTAATAGACTGCCTTTATGGCTTGTAACAAATATATTTCAACTGCGGATGAAGTTATGAAAGTAGATCTGATTGTTGCAGTTAAATGAACAACCTTAGAACCCTCTCGATGTTTTCTGTTCCTCCTTTCTTCGTAGGGTGGCATTAATTTTCCGCGTGCGTTCGGCTCAGAAGCTTGCACTTTCTGACGGGGTTTTGTTAAGACGCCTATGCCTTCTCGTGCTGCTTTACTGCAGTTACTTGGCTGCCTGGACCGCATTTCACCCACCCTTAGTTGAAACAGCACGGACATCTGGTGACCTCAAATATGAAAGATGTGTTGAAAATTGGTTCAATCTCACTCTAATATTTGGTAAGACCGGAAAAAAATAGGGAATAACATACTTTGCGAAGACGTTTACGTTTATTCAGGTAATCCACAAAAGCATACCCATCACGTGGATGTAAGAAAGAAAAATAATACTAATGCAAAACAAATAACATAAACAAGAAAGTTTTAAATGAATCAATAAATTAAATTAATAAATCAATTCATTTAAGAATTGCCCAGGCCAGCCTTGAAACCTTTCAGGTTTGCTTGAGTAATCACTTCAGCAGGTAGGCTGTTCCACAAGTTTATCGTGCTGTGAAAAAAACTCCCGTACGCCTAAGTGCCACAGTTCACAGCAGTGTATCTCAGGGGATGGTACTGACGGGTTTTGCTGTAATGTAGTGGCTGGACATGTATATGAGGGCATTGGGATAGCTAACACACCCCTGATTATCTTGAAGAACAGCATCAGCCTTGCTTTTCCGCGTCTCATCTGTAAAGGCTCCCAGTTAAATTCCTGGATCAAACGCGTCACTGTCCCCGCCCGGTTCTCTATCCCAGCAGTTCTCGCAGAAGCGCACCGCCTTGCACTGCGCAGCCTCTATACTATTAATCTGGTACTTTTGATGTGGCGAAAATACAAAACCGGCGTATTCCAAATGTGGACGTCTGAAATAGGAATCGTTTGCGCGTAGGTATAATGCAGGGACAGGTTCATTGGTGTGGCATCGCCGTTTTTAGTCTTGTTGCGGGGATGATATTATGTTCTCACAAAATCTGACATGAAGTTTAACTGGTTTGAATTTTTGCGTCATGAAGCTGTTCAAATACCTGTAGAGTCTAAAATGCATTCATTTGGTTCGCATTAGATGGCATACCCTCGCAATGATCAAAGTATGTCCTGGTCTGTGAGAGAAGACCCGTCCCTCTGCATAGTTCAATATCCATGGCATGACATATATATATATATATATATATATCTTAATCACAAATGAAGACAGAAAACAGTTTCCTTTCAATCCACCTATATTTCGATCACATTCAGTGATCTTCTTCAGGGTGACTAACTAGCCGTTAACGTACAGAACTTTTAAATTGCTGAATTACGAAGGTAACGCGCGCGCATCACAACTGAAATGACTATTATTTTAAACGTCTAACGGAAAATGTCATAGATGACACTATCATCTCCTGCGCGCGCCCGCGCGCGTCTTTCGGTTCTGGGCGTAAAAACCATCATCCTCATTAAGTCCTTGAGGGCGCAGCGTTCCCAATCTATACATCCACTCTCCCTCCTTCTTCCGCAACTCCCTCTCTCCCATGGCTCTGTCTATTAACTGTATAGTTAAATGGCTTAATCCTAAGTGTCCCGAACTATGAAAATGCTGGTAGAGAAAATCGTCATTCCTCTTATTTTCAGAAGACAACTTGAGATGGGCATTGATCCTACTTCTGTGATTATTGAACCCAGACCGTCAAATTGTCAGTTCTCCAGTCGTTCTCTCGTAGTTAGTTTTGCTCGATCTCGTCAATAAGTCGTTTGTACGGTACTGGTAACTGTTGATTTGATGTTTCGTCTGTAAATGCTATTCAGCAATGTGATTGTTGACGTCCCATTCCTCGTCGCTAGTTTGTGTTCGGTCAGTCGCGTGCTAAGGTTTCTGCCCGTTTCACCGATGTAAGCAGCATTTGATCTAACTTGTATACTGCTGCCTGTCTGTACTCCGGCTTGTCTTTGTCCTTGACATTAGTAAATTATCTGTAGATGGTGTTCATTGCTGAACACTATTTACAGACGAAACATCAAATTGACTGGGACTCTGCGACATGTATTACGTATTCTACAGACTAGTATCAACGACTTACTTTAGAAAGTTGGTTTACTAACTTAAAACAAACGCCACTGAATCAAAGCCAACAGTTACCAGCACCGTACAAACGACTTATTGACGAGATCAAGCAAAACTAACTACAAGAGAAGGACTTGACAACTGACAATTTGATGAACAATAGACGACTGTTTAATTGTGACAATAGACGAAACGAAACGCACTAATTACTGATTACGAGTCTTTATAGCCAATAACATCACGGCTTAACTGACAGACGACCAATAACATTGCGACGTAATTGACTAATCAGATCAATAACCAGAGTATGATACCATCAACTGACGTTATACAACTCAACTTTGACTCCGAAGATGACTACCGCACAGGTTGTCGAAAAGTCAGCCACTTTCAACAAGAACAGTCCTATTCAGGACTACGTTCACCCGGACAATCAAACCCAAAAATTGGTTTAGCAAATTGAAAACCACTAGACTAACTCCTCTAGCTAGCTATTCATTTGCCAACTGAGTGTCTGCTAGCCGTCTAATTTAACTTATCATTACAGGAGATATGATGGTGCTGATCTGGGGAATGTGGCTTAGTTACAAGATTAGAAACGCCCCACCAGCTTACAACGAGAGTAAGATGATCAGCTGGGCCGTTTATAGCGCCATGTTTGTCACCAGTTTTCTCATGGTTTTAAGGTCAGTATTCTAATTGTCTTGTTCTGAGCACCCTCGGCCAATGTGATGCAATTAACTGGTTGGTACACATCGAGACAGAACAAGCGAAAGAGTTACTGTCGCTATCATCTTAAGGATTAGATCAACTACACATTCAAGGATGTGAAGAGATACTCACGGTTGGGTGAGTGAAATAATTTTATGGAACCACACATTACCCTGTAGCCTGCGAACCCAGACATATTTCCTTTCGTCGCTACTCTCCACCCGGGAGTAAAGCGACGACCGGAAATACGCCTTCGTTCGCAGGCTACACGGATTGCCGATACTGACGGGGCATTGCCTGGGAGACGCGGCGAGGCGTCTACTATATCGTGATGACTTTTCATTTTCTTATTTCTCGCTTTCGTCCCGTGATTTTAGGATAACCACGAAAGGAAACACAAATCCAGACTTGTTGTACGGGCTGGACTTTGTGCTGATTCACATGGATTGCTCGACCGTGATAGTTCTCATGTTCGCTCATAAGGTATTGCTCTTGTACGCTCCATAGAGTTGTGTCTTTGTGCTGTTTTGTGTAAGATTGTGTACTTCCCATAAACTTCTACGTCACTAACTCCCTACTGAAAAAGTATAGTTAGCTGGAGAATGCCCTTGGCAGCTTGGGGCGTGTGATCGCGGTACTCCCCAGCTAAAAACACAATGAACAAGTCGTAAGAATTTGAGAGATGTTTTCAACACGGTTAACACCAACGTTTTGGGGTTTTCGGGCATCCGCTTGGAGGGGTTACTAGAATCATTTATACTCTACTTTGGCGGAGTATTGCAAGCAGCAGACTTAGTAGGACTCATAATGCTTTATTATTTTTTTTTAAGGTTTTTTTTTTCCTAATAATTTCTTATCATACTACCTATGCCTCAAGTTTTTTTGAAGAAAAAATTCACGTGCAGCACACACTTGAATACATATTTCAGTGTAAGATGTATAATTTTCCAGTCAGAGTCTAAAACGACAGCGGTAACAATCTCCATTTATCCCTAGGAAGTTTTCCTTATCCCAACGGGCAATAAATTTGGGCTTTCTGGAGAGTTTTGCTGTTGCTATTGCTACATCCCGGGTCAAACAAATGGCCAAAAGTACTTTCAAATACCAAGGACAACAGTTCTCTAATGCCTGAGTACAAAGCCACTTTTTAGAATTATCGGATCAAGAGAGAATTGATCGCATACACTAACGGTCACACCTTCAATTTGTTGTTAGTATTTACTAGTACGCCGGATGCAGAGAACAGTGAATGACTGTACGTCGTCACATAATAATATGCTGGTTCCTGAGGAGGAGATAGTTGAAGAACAAAGTGCCCATCAGGAAGAACAGTCGCTGAGAAAAGAGAATCAAGAACTTAAGGTACCCTAGAACGTTATGGATGAGAATCATTAACGCAGTAGCACTAGAGAAAGAAACAAGAGAGGCTGAGGGGGAGTTGATGGAGAAATAAGATGGGTGCAAACGTTTTAGCTTTGAAAAGTTTGCTTTTCAAAAATGTTTCTCTCTGAGCAAATGAATTTTTAGACAAAATCATGTCAGCTAAGCGAGTAATTGGGTGATTCTTTTCAAACGAAATTTTGCCATAGATAAAACTTCACAGAGCGGTCTTGTTGTCTTGGTTATGACTATTAATACCTTTGAGGTCAATTCCTTTACATGCTTTCTGAAGGCGGCGTCTTATAAAGTCTGGTTTTCACTAGCGACGGAGTCGGAGTCGGAGTCGTAAGCGCGACGGAATCGGAGTCAGAAGAATCAGAACGTTTCTATTTCTTCCGACTCCGCTTACGACTCCGTCACTTACGTTCCGCTTATGATCTAGTGAAAACCAGATTGTCGGAGTTGGAAGCAGAAGCGGAAGGATAAACCAATCACAATTCACGTTCCCACGCTTTGTGGTTGGTTTGTTTCTTCTGCTTCTGCTTCTGCTTCTACTTCCGACTCCGACAATCTGGTTTTCACTAGGTCATAAGCGGAACGTAAGCGACGGAGTCGTAAGCGGAATTGGAACGCTGTTTTCACTAGATCATAAGCTCTACGCTTCTGATTACGACTCCGACTCCAACTCCGTCGCTAGTGAAAACCAGTCTTAAATAGTCAAAAGCCTGGTTTAAAGTTAATCGCATTACAAGCAGTACAAAATTCCTAAATCGCCAAAAACAAGTCTTCAAAGTACGAAAAACCTTCGAGTCACACTTTAATAACAGAGCGGAGTGGGAAACACGGAATGTGTATCTAGAAGACTTTACGGTTTATAAAGTAGTGTAATCTGTTGTTTAAGGAAATAATGCGACTGTAAAACTTAATGAAGTCACGTTTCTTTTGTATGTAGGAAGAGATGAGACGATTAAGAGTCAAACTGGCTACGCTCCAGTCCACCTTAATGAAAGAAGATAACCATCATATGAAAAAGCTAAGTGGCAGAGGAGGATTCATCCGTAGAAAGAGTGCTTTCACCTTGACACGTAAAGGAGCCGGACATGTTCAGAGTATGAAACGGCATTCGCTTCAGTTAGCGCCCACACTACACGATCCTTGCAAGGACGGACATGAAATCTCACGGGAGGGACCAAACAAGAGCGGAGAGTTGAGGGATTGCAACTCAGAGCTTATTCCAGAGTTTATTGAATTTGGTTGCGATATCCTTTGTCCTCAGGAACTGAACCGGTCTGCTGCGTTTCTGCATTCTGACCGCCTACACAGCAGAATCTACCATCCCAGCGAACCAACATAGAATTCTTCGTTGTCCTACGATATATAACTGATTGATTGATTGAGTGATTTAATGACTGATGGATTTATTGTCCCCCTGTCTTTAGAGAGACAGGAGTTTCTGTAAAGTTTCACATACCATGTTGCCCGAGCTCCCGTCCCCTTGATGAAGGACCCCAGCTCTATCAGTAAATGCTTGTTGACAAAAGAAAATACCCAACGTCAACAAATTTCTCAATATTTTCCAATTTCCTTTCCCCCTGTTCTCAAAGGGCCTAATGCTCGCAATCAGAGAGAAAAGCTGCAAATCGTTCCCATTTGCTAGTAATTAAGTACAATTTGGTTTCATTAAAGCACGTACCCTTGTACAGTTCAAGAGCAACAGATGGACTAAAAGCCAAAAATTTCTTGCGGGCATTTAGGTAAAAGCATTGTCGGGGATTGAAGTACGTACATAATTTACGCAATTGAGTCAGTAACAGAGGAAATTAAATTTAACGTAGCTTATGGGCTACTCCTTTATTTCTAAATGTGCAACCTAAGCTTATCTTGCAAGTATGTTACCAGCTCTTGCACTTCAACAAAGCAAATATTATCAAGTTTCAGTTTATTGTTACGAGTACAGTACGAGATCTCAAAACAATCAGTCAATATATAAATCAAAAAGCCAATTCTGACTCAATCAATCAATCAATAAATCCATCAGTCATTAAATCAATCAATCAATCAATCAATCAGTTAGTCAGTTACCAAACCACTTTAGAGACGCTTTTAAGAAATAAAAAACAGAACATAATAATCTAGCAATTAAAGAAAGGTTTTAATTACTTCGGTCCCTCGCTCTATGCCTTTTACTTGAGCCAAACCAGCAAATGGGGATTGGAGTGATCATATCGTGTGTTTGGCCAATCAGAATCGCTCTTAGGACTGTCATATCCATTAGCGTTCTGACTCCATCCGTTTGCTTTGGAACCTGCTAACATCACGCCAACCGCCATGCAGTAGTCTTTCACAGCTGTATTTCCTTGCTTGTTAATCGAGGCGTAAGGGTACGAACCACCGTGTTGCTGCAATGGCATTATCCCGTACATGTTCTGGTAACAAACCTTATGGAAAGAAAGACAGATGTTATCGAAAGATATAAAAGCAACGGCAACAAACCCAGCGGATTTGCGAAAAACTGCTAAAAAAAATGGCTATCGAGCGCACTACATGTTATATTGTAAGGCAAAAGAAAGCGAATAGAAGGTCTTCGGCAACCTTAAGTTCATTGTCTGCTATTTTCTGAGAACTATTTCATGAAAAGTGGCTAAATTGTGGCCAGCTTGTAGCCTGAAATTCATCCGATTGCTTCGAGTCGTTTTCTCCTCTCAACAACTGAGGGAGTAATAACGACTCGAAGTAATCGGATGAAATTCAGGCTAGCCAGCTTGTTCAACATGGTAAATCTGTGAAAGCGATGCATAAGGAATTGCTTCGTTGGGCACTCAATTATCTCACACTCCACTCGTTCGACTACTTATTCGGGTAATTAGGCCAACATGAAATTCGTTCCTTTTTCTTACATTGCTCATCTCGTACCTGGCTTTTCCCATTCGATACCGTAACAGTTACTTGGTTTGCAGTAGCTGCTGCCACTTTTGCCTGACCGACGCCATGATTCCACCAAGTACCATAATTTCTGTCCAATGGCATCTTCCATCGAATCCACCTGTTTCCAACTCCGGAATGATTTTCGCTGCTCGAGAACATAACCTCAGATGAATGACATACTGCAAGATGTCGAGCATCCAGGCAGGCATACTCAATGCTGCCCGAGTTCATTCCGGGCGACTTCAAAAGGTTACTGTTGACGTTTCGTACAAGCCACGAATTGAAGATGTTTCCCACCTGGCCGCTGATTTTTCCAACAAGAGTCCATCCACCTTTGTCCATGTCACAGAACGTTGGGCTGCTTTTCGTACCTGCTTTTGCTGTCTTGATCCAGTAGACCCCATTAACAGCCGATGATTTGGCTTTCCCAGTGAGATTCGCATCGTAGATCTGCTTGCAAGAGTCAGCAGGCCTCATTTTTCCTCCAAGGGTCGGATATTTGTGGAGAGGAAGGCGACAAATGTTTCCTGTGATCACTCTGGGTTTGGTTTTTACAAGGATGCGGACCTTTATATTGTCGTAATATGACCTGCAGCCGGTGAGACTCCCACTGTAGATGCTATGACAGCCCAAAGCTATGGTGCCGCTGGGGATCATCCACGTGCTGCTTACTGCAGTGTTTTGTATGGAAATACCATTGGCCCACTGAGTTATTTTGTTCCCTATCAAACGATACTTAAAGTGAAACCATTTATTTTTAACAAGTGGTTCAGGGAGCTGACATTTGTAAATCCAACTGCCGTCTTTGTTGTTAACGAAGGGTCTCATGGTACAGTCTTTATGATCTGTGTAATACTCAAACCACCAGGCTGTTGTATGCTGAAGCCTGAAATCCTGAACTCGGAAAAAAGGCCCAGGATAGACTACGTGTGAGCCCGTCTCCATAAAATCCAGGTCTACTTCAATGTCCTTCCATGCTTTACCTTTTTTGAGGTAAAGTCCTACCTCAGCGTAGCCAAAAGTAGATTTTCCAGTCTTTCCAAACAAATGCCCATCCTTTACAGTCCACTCTCCCCATACACGGGTCCACTCCCCAAGGTCTGAGGTGGAGAAATCTTCAAAGAAGGCGAAGACGTTCCTTTTGTCAGCTTTGACCCCGTGAGGTGGCTTGCCACCAAAAACTAGAGCGTACGATTTGCCATCAATAGTCTTTGCGGTTATCGCCTCTTGGGTCCTGAACTGAACACTTGTGCTAGCTGTATACACGTTGCTGATTATGCGATCAATCTCAACTGGCAAGCTACTTTCATTGGCGCGATAGAATACTCGAAGATCTTCCCCAGATAACGAAGCTTTCTGTTCATCAACCAATGCCTTGTGGTTCACTGAAAATAACAATATATGTTAATCGATATGCGGATTTTGTTTCCCGTTTATAAGGGAGAAGTCCTATGAGAAGATGTCAATGGGCTTAAAGTACCTGTTAGAGTCGTTCTTTCTGAAAGATTTATTTCGTAAGAAGCTGCAGAGCTCATATGTATATCAGGCTAGTTGTTGGCCGTCCCTGAGATTGTTTGAACGTATTTAACTCTACCAGGGTACAACTCTATCCTTAAGTGGCTGTTACGTCGATTCCTTTCCTTTTTGGTTAAAGCTGAGCTTAAGTTAAACTACCGTATTTCCTCGAATATTAGCCGGGGGCGAGTATTATTTGAGGGAGGCTATTATTTCAATACTGCTCACTGAAGTTGTGCCTTGAATATTTTGTTTTATGATCACATCAAATAAACTGAACATGGGCTTTTTAAGTGTTCCAAATTTGGTTCCTTGATTGATTTTCAGATCTTGAATCATCACTGATCAGTTTTGCTGGATCAGATTCCACTTCAGCTTGACAAGGAGAGGATAAAAGAAAGACAAGAGAATTCGAGGGAGGCGATTATTTTAAATATTTTCACCTAAGAGGGGCGATAATTCGAGGGAGGCGATTAATCGAGGAACGGGTATAATTTTAGGAAATACGGTAAGTATTCTTTGTCATCTCATACTTGGAACTCCAAAAGGATATTTCTATCATCGGTTTTTGTCATTTTTTGACAGCAAAAAAGTTCTAAAAAAAGTATCAAGTCGCAACCTGGTTCCATCCTGGCCAAAGACACGTTCAAACTTCAAGTTGATGACTACAATAGGTATACTAGGGGCGAGAAATTGTAAATAAAACAGAGCCATTATTCGGGGCTTTCCTTGATTCTAATGTGTTTTTAGCGTTTTGTAATACAGTTCGAGTTAGCAGGGGTTCGAGTTATTGGGATCGATTGAATTGGCCATGTCAATGATTGATGGTTACTGATTTTTCAGCACTTCAGTGTACATGATAGTACATTGCAAATTTAAGTTGTTTCATCAGAAACGGTAAGTAACATGCTTATGCATTTTATGATTGCACCAGTTAGAATCAAATTGCTGCATGCAAGAAGAAGTGGCATCCGAGTGGAATTACAAGAACCAGAATTCGAGTTAGCGTTGTAAATTTCAGTGAAATTTTGATCAAGGGAAAGGAAATTAGTTCGAGTAAGCGGGGAACTCGAGGTATCCACGACTTAACCGAGTAAAACTGTGGGGGTAAATCCAAGGGAAATCGAACTTCATACGAGTTAGCAGGGAGTTCGAGCTATCGAGGTTCTACGGTAATAATGTAATACCAAACACTGGTAATTGACAGCTCAATTTAACCCTTATAATGCATGACTGGCATATTTTTTTCCTAAAATATTACTTTTCAACGGGAACTGCAGGGTATGAGAATTCTGTTTTGTTTTTCGCGCTGCTCCCTTTATCAGTTTAGTACTTACTGTTACTGAATTATTCTTCACGAGATTTGAGAGATTGCCGAAGGTAGGAACAACAGAAAAAAACAGCCGAATTTCCCCTTACCTTCTACGGTTAATGTATAGTGAACTGGCAATGCCGAGCGGGTCTCTATCAGAATACTCTGTTTGTAGTGGAAACCTCGCACCATGTATTTGTCCTTACACAGTTTTCTATCAAGAACATGCCCTTCAGTAAACTGGTTCAGAAGATCTTGCATTTTTTTGATGGTCTTGACACAGAAGTCGTCTTTGCTCTGATCGGAAGACAAGAAGCTTCTTTGAAATCTTTTACTATGAAGCGAGTCGTCACTCGTCTCGCCTTCCAACTCGTCTTTATTATTTGCAAGTGACACTGCCGGAATCTAAAAATTAAAGAATACACAATATGAAGCTAATATTAATGTGTGAACTGACGCCGTCTTTGTCTTAACGAATAGCGTGTATTACAATTAAGACTACATTGTCGCGAGGAAAACGCCTCCTTTCGGAAAGGAATAGAATGAGCTTTATGATCCAAAACATCACGCCCGTTGAGGAAGAAAAGGTCGTGATTTTCGACAGTTGCTCGTTGTCCAGAGAGTGTGCTTTACAAAATTCAGACGCAGTGTCTAGTTTTCCTTTTCCTTTAATTTCATTTTTTTTTTGTCGGTGATAAAGATAGAGGCATTTCATCCACAACAAGAGGGATTTAGTGGTACTTGAAGAAAAGGTCTGGAGGTGTTCCTTATGCTGACGCGTAGACTTGGTATATTAATATTCAGTCTTTCTGAACGGCAAACTATACAGCCATACTAAAGTAACTGAACAAATCTTGGTGCTGAGAATTTTAATTAATACAACATAACCTTATCTGTTCATCTATTTTGTTTTGACAGTTTAATTTTACACGAACTTTAGTTAGCCCAGACCAATCAGTTTTGCGGCTTTTTCCAAAACGCAAAATCAAACAGAAATTATAAAAGTCACAAAATTTTAAAATCTCCGTGAATTTTTATGCAAGCCGTTAGGACGATCGAAAATTAAGAAAAATAAGCATAATTTCAAAATCAAGAAATAGAAGTGCAGGGATAAATTGATGTCAATTCAATATGCATGGCATCATACGCGTCTCCTGTGTATCAACAATCTTGGACAAAACTGTTTAAAATCCAAGTGCATTTTACAGTGCGAATAACTACTTTTTTTGCGTCAATCAAAGCCCCTTCCAGAATCAACTTATATGATGTGAGGCGAAGTGACTTTTAAGGTATCTCAAGTAGGAAATGTGCACACTAATCCCAAAAGTATTCTTACTTGGCGCAATTATTTGAACTTTTTAAGCTCTTGCGCTAAAACTCTCATTTTATTAAATCAGCGTCTGCAACTTTAAACAGCGAAATCAAAGATTGTCAACATACAACATAACCGCGTGTCTAATCAACCTTTATGTGAATCTCAATTCGCGCTAGCCAAGTTATTGCTTCCTCTACCAAATTGAAACGGTGAAATAATCTTTTTCGCGCACATTTTTTGAGCCCTCAAAACAGGTAAATAAACAAATGAAAAATTATACGCAAGATCAATTGGATTAATACTGAACTTGACCAGTCTGAAAATTTGCTTGGATAAACAGAAGTTTCATAGTTAAGTTTACTTAGGATTCGTCATGGGAAATTCGCCACATAGGAACGCAAGCCTAAAATGGTCTCATTGATGGGAACTTTTTAGTCAATTAACCACAATTAATTAAAACTTATGTTAAATGTAATATTCCATAAAGCATGATCAAATGCGCTCAAAAGCGCGACGTCTCTCGCAAGGCTTGCGAAAATTGTCAGCCTGAAGTTTACTTAATGGAATCAATGTTACAGAAAAGTGTATATCTTGAAAGAAAGTTATAAAACTGTAAAACCTTACGTGGCGGTTCTCCAGCGACAGGGAAGTGTACAAAGAAGGGCAAGCCAAGGCCAATACGAAGACGAACAAGCGAAACATTTTCACCCGATTGTTCAGAAGTGAAAACGCCAAGGTCTTAGAATCATCAACCTTTTGAATCAAAAACAGGAAAATACAGGCCTGAAGCGAATACCTTTGGTCATTTGACAATAATAACTGCGTCAGTTTCACCGTCAAAACAAACCCAACGAGAAATTTTAACTAATCCTGCGGTTATTTAAATTTGAGAAATGAATACCTAACGTAGTTTCTGGCCTTCAATCCACGTTAAATTGTTTTTTTTCTCAATAAAACAGATAATTTATAAGTAGTATGATCCTGAAGCTTTAGTTTTATTTTTTCCCCCCACGGCCATAAGCAAATGCTCGACGCTCCCGAGTTTGTATGGGGGAAACTTCGTTAAAAGCTCACTTCCGGTTTGCTGCCTTGCACCATGGACTATATTAATAATTGAATTTTACACAATTTGTTTTTTAGTTAAATTTAATTAAAAGACATTATCAAAGGCGTCATTAACGTTTAGTTAGTTAATATAAATTTTGAAGACATTCATGCAGCAAACGCCAATCACATTATGCAGATTTCAGTCCTATGTATATGTTATCAGAATTTCTAAAAACAAAATACATAACTCAACTTTGTGAACGTGCAAATATAAATTCTATAAGTTGGTCGTAGTAACAGGTTTTCCCTGAAATTACCAATCAATCAAAGCTAAAACTTAAATCTATTTTAGCTGCAACTTTTGTGGGGTTGGCACGCGCTATAATGCGGGCAATCTAATTAACCGTAATAAATTATGATACATTACAATTTACATCAAGTTCTACTTCATACCAGAGACACGCGGCTTAATTCGAAACTTAATTTATATTACAAAACTAATCTTTTAAACGTTCATTTGTGTGACGTTCAAATATTATGTTCGGTAAGTCTTTCATGTAAAACAACATTTCAGCAGAATAAACAACAAATGTCCTCCTAGTTAAAAACGTGCTCGTACAAAGGATGGTAATTAAAAAAGCAGCTGAGAACACTTCAGTCGCTCTAGATTATTGTGCTGAATATTGCTAATATCCTGATTCTAGTTTGTGTTTACACTAAGTTCGTTAGGGACGGAAACTTCAAGTAATATTTAAGCAGCTTTCGTTATCCCATCTAAGATTAAATAAGATCCGAACTTCTTACTGCTAATGAATCTTGGTAAAACAAATTGTAACACGGCTGAATAAACATTTATCTGTACAGAGTTTTCTGCGTTCTTAAACTTCAATGTTTTGAAATCATATTCGAAGTGCTAAAATGTTAACTCTCATAAAACTGAGTTCCTTTCTAAGGTAACATTGTTATATCGACTGTGATATTTGCTACACACTTAAAAAATGAAGCGAAAATTATATTTGCTTGAAGGACTTAATTAATTGTTTGCTACTTTATGAGAATAAAATTGGGAAATTTGCATTTATATGTGAAAATCGCTGCGAACTTGCAATAAGTTTCTTTCATCGTCAAATTTGTGGCTACTTGGCTGCTATAAATTGTGCCGAAATCGTTGAATTCGTACACGCGTGTATAATGGCATGGGTTCTAAAAAGAAACACTTGAACAGCCAAACGTAAAACTGAGGCGCTAATGAATTATCGGCTGCCAACTTTCACAACACAGCATCCAAAACGAACACAAGCAAGAACAATTAATTGGCACTCGTCTAAATAAAACTAGCCTACTCACAGACCCTCTATTTTCTCTTCAAAGTCCCTCGAGCATGGGCATTTATTGACGCGCTCGCGAGCTCGCCGATGTTTTTGAAAAGAACGAAGAGAAAAATAAAACAACGTCTGTGTACAGGCGACGTCTACACTGGAAAGTGCACCAACGGCTCCGCCCATGCTGCAGTCTTCATCTGAGCCACAAAAGGACATCGGGAGACTGGTGACTATATGGTGTGTTAGACCAATCATTGTTATTCTTTGGACAGTCGTATCCGTTGGCGTTCTGACTCCATCCGTTTGCTTTGGAACCTGCCAGCATCACTCCAACAGCCATGCAGTAGTCATTCACAGCCGTATGTTCTTGCTTGTCATTGACGATGTGTAAGGGTAGGAACCACCGTATTGCTGCAATGGCATGATCCCGTGCATGCTCTGATAGCAAACCTAGGCAGCGAAAGATAAGGGAAGATACTATCATTGAAAGATCATAGTTTATTTAAGCAATAGACCACACTTTCTATGGGTTTGTTGGCGTGATAACCCACGCGGAATGTTGGGAGAACACAAGAAAAACTTGTAAATCACGAGCCGAAGGCGAGTGATTTACAAGCTTTTCGAGTGTTCTCCCAACATCCCAAGTAGGTTATCACGCCAACAAACCCATAGAAAGTGTGGTCTATCGCTATCTATTGTTTTCCCTCAAAAGGCCAAAGAGGCCAAAATCAGGCCTTTAAGGCCAAACTCAAGGAGGGAAACTAGAAATGTGGCGGTGGTGGGGGTGGTGGTGGAAAGAATACAATAGAAATGTGGTGGTGGTGGTGGTAGTGGAGGGAAAACAATTGAAATGTGGTGGTGGTGGTGGTGGAGCGAAAACAATAAAAATGTGGTGGCGGTGGTAGTGGTGGAGGGAAACAATAGAAATGTGGTGGCGGTGGTGGTGGTGGTGATGGTGGTGGTGGAGGGAAAACAATGCAAATGTGGCGGTGGCGGTGGCGGCGGTGGTGGTGGAGGAAAACAATAGAAATGTGGTGGCAGTGGTGATGTATTAAGTTTCAATATTCACGAAGCTGTGTTAAAAAAAAAGTTGAGTGTAAAGTCAATGTGGGGTCGATGTAAGGCGGATGGTGTATTTGTGGATGGAAAAATATATAGAATAAATGAGGAGGTGGAGGTGGAGGTGGAGGAGGGGGATAAAAAACATTGAGGCGGGAATATAATAAAAATTGTAGAGGGAGGAATAAAAACATTAAGAAGGGAAATAAAATTGAAAAGGGAGAGGCAGTAAGTAAAACAATGTGCGCAGTGTTAAAAAAGGATGGCTTGCCTTCTTTGACTATTTGAATAGAATCTTTAATCTAATCTTTTTACAAATATTTTAAAGAAAGTTCATAAAGTTGATTTCTTGTGTCTTAAGAAGTGTCTGGTTTTATTGCTAGCAATTATTAGCCGCGTGTTTCAACTGATCCTTGTTAATTGTTTTTTTGTGTGTGTTTTAATAATAATACGTCAAGATGCTCCCTTGGGGTTTTCACTACACAACTAGTTTGTATGCAACGGTGGGCTTGTCAACTCGCATGATTACCTGACTAACGGTGCGTGAAACGCTGAGACTTCAATAGTTTTTCATTTCCTCGAGATAGATAGGAGAAAACGCGGTTCTGTAATAGTCAGACAAAATTGAGATAGAGACTTTTTACCTCCACTTTGTGGATATGTGTGTTTGTTTTGTTTATATATCTGAGTTTTAGCGCTAAATAAGATATAGGAAGCCGTTTCTCGCGTTGCTAGGTGATCGCTCCTATTTTCCTTTTAATAGACGTTCTGGTAAACCGGGCTCAAGTTACTTAAAGGGCAAGCCAAGGCAAGCCTATTGTGCTTATTGAGTAGAAAAACGCTCATTAGTTAACCTATCCACTACATTATGTATGCAGGAAGACCCTCATTAGTATGGAAGAAGACAGTTGTGCATATTAGTAAAAGGGAAGACAGGGAAAGACACCAACGAGGCTTAATTTTGCTGAAGCACGACTACTTGTTCTTGTGGACACTGAAGAGGAAACTAATTTGTCCTCTCACACTGAAGATAGTTTTTAACGAAAAACCAAGTTCACTACCTCCATCAAAACAAACTCCATGAAACACTCATTCCTGCGGCTGATATCTTAAAGGGACTTTATTTCCACCTATCTCTGTTGCTGTTAGTCTCGACAAAGAATTCACCGGTCGTCGCCCGGCAGGTAGTGATCAGGAGGCGTTTTCAGTGAATGGATCGGTGGTATGAATTCTTTTTTTAGGGCATTTTAAGAGGGTGGGATCAAGTTCTTTTATTGCAACCAGTTGCCAACGGCAAAGAAAAGCCAGGAAAAACGTTCCAATTTTTACGGATAATTTATCGCGTTTCATTTGGTGAGGAACGAACTGGGAAGCACAGGTTAGTTGTTTCTCGATGTTAAAAAAAGGTTTCACGCAGATAATGTCTCTAACTGTTGAGCAACAAGTTCTCAAAAATGCAAAGAGGAGAGCGCAACCTTTCGGGACTTCTTTCAAATTTGTAAATTAAGGTCTACAACAGCATAAGGAAGTTCAAAAGTCATGGTCGAAGAAAGCTAAACCGAAACTTTTCATACGTAACTTGTTCCAAACTATCCTTGGGCTTTTTACACAAGGAGCGCAACCTCCCCCTTTTCTGTAGCAATTCTCCCTTCTCTCCCAAAATACTGTGGATCGAGGCCATTGCATTCCTATGGATGACTTTGTTGTTTGCCGTAAACGCCACAGGTGAGGACACAGACGTTTACAATAGCTGCCAGCATCAAGACTGACTTATTGTCACGGTAGCAGACAGTACAACTTGTGGCGCTTAGCAATGACAGGAAGAGCCACTGAACAAGATTCTTTAATGTCATTTAACAATCCTGCACGGAGAGAGGTCATAGAAATCCTGTTGAGCATCGTATGTTATTCAGAGCAGCCACAAGGATCCCCACAAAGCTGTAGATCTGACCACATCTCTCGAAGCTCCTCGGGATCGTTTTCTGGGGAAGTGAAGACACCTGTGTCACACTCGCGCCCACATGACCAACGGTAATCCTAAAAAAAATGATGAGTCGACGAATGAAAAAATGAATGAATGGATGAACAGATGGATGGAGCGAGGACAGGAGGGGAAGGGAGGGAAGGGGGGGGGGGCGGAATTAGGGATGTATTAATGAATCAAAAAATAGCCTTTTCTAATCGGATAAGCATATCTCCCAAATTAAGGTGGATCAAAGAGACTGCTGCACTACAAACTTACATTGACAATGTTTGGTCCTAACGCTGAAAGCCAGATTCCCATCGATACATCTTCACCCTACAAGGCCAAGTACTTGTTACTAAGACAGTCACAAGAAAGTTACTGAGAAAACTGATACCCTTTACGCCTCCTGATAGGGCAACTTAACTATTGAAAATTCATGCATGTCGCAGGCAGTCAATCTCGCAAACTTATCTGCGCTTTGAAAACCACCACTACAGAATGTTAGCAAAGCAAAGGACTCCACAGTCTCGTGGACCCAGACTGGATAAGTGATCACAAAGGAACATTCCAGCGTAGGTATTACAGACAAGAAAATGTATGACCTTCTGTGATCGGGTAAAGATTAAGAGTTTGTATACCTGGTACATCTTAAGATGATCCTTATTCAATGCCAGCCATTCCACAAGGTCAGCGGAGAGTATGTTTCCCGCACCACAAGCAAATGATGGATATACAGGAGCAGTGTAGTCCATTTCCCGCCATTTCCCCACGCGCTCCACTGCCCAGTTGCTGCGAAACCTAACGGCATGAACAGTACAACACAATCATATACACTTACTAAGTTTTGCCTGCGGTTTCTTTAGGAAATTTTACCTGCTCCACCAAATACGTTCTTTCCCTCGAAGTTTTCTTTTGTTTAGCGCCTAGGAGTAATGAAATTAAAGAGTTAGATTTTGACTCCACTACACAACATCAACAGACAAAACGTAATGGCAAATAAGTTATTTTGGGACGGCTTGGCGAGAAACAACCCTACAAAGTACTTATGTAAATACAATAATAGGTGATTACTGGTGAATACCTAATGTACAACACTCGTAAACTAGCTTTCACAAAAAGAAAAAACTCGTGCTACAAATGGTCGCTCTTGACCTGAATCACCCAGTTAAGCACGCAGGCTTAGTGCCAGTTAGGCTGCCAGTTATTATGGGGAAACTAATTAATAAAACTCTGACAACATATAGCCGGCACAGGGAACACGATAGGAGCACAGAGGCTAAGCAAAAAGAAAAACTGCTATAACTGGTCGATCTCGACCTAAATCCCCCAAATAAGCAGGCAGGCTTAGTGCCAGTTAGGCTGGGAAAACTAATTAATAAAACTCTGACAACGCATAACTGGCACAGGGAACACGGCAGGAGCACAGAGGCTAAGCAAAAGAGAGATCTGCCACAACTGGTCGATCTCGACCTGAGTCCCCCAAAGAAGCACGCAGGCTTAGTGCCAGTTAGGCTGCCAGTTAGGCTGGGGAAATTAAATAAAACTCTGATCAACGGATAACTGGGACCGGGAACACTTCAGCAGCACAGAGGCTGAGTGCCAGGGAAACTGGGAATTATCTCCACTAATGTACCCAACAAGGCACGTAGCCCAATAACCAGTAAGGCTGCCATAAAAGGCTAGGGCAGGACATTGAAAGTAAACAAATGGATAAAGACCCTGGCTAGAAGTCTGTAACATTGCCTGCAACCTAACTGCATCAAACGAGACTTATGTCGCCTCCTAAAGAGCGGTTCCGGGACTGCTGACCTAGACATACATAGAAACTAAATATATCAAGTAAAGGAGCAGGTGCAAAACTGAGATAACTGTACAAGTACATACGATAAGAAACGGGAAAAAACTGAAAACTAGCAGAGCTGAGCTACCGCTTACAAACTGAAGTAAATGCGGTCAGACGGAGGCCAGAAAAAACCTGCCCAAAAAAACCCCGAAGGGAAAAAATGCGGGCAGGAAATCTGGGTAGGAACCAAGGCTCAAGCTCAAAGCCCTTCCTACGGGACTTTACAATGTCATCGAGAATATGTTGCTCCTAAAAATATATAAAACAAAAATAAAGAAAAACCAAAGAGAGGGTGGTTCGTAAGCCTAGATGACGTACACGTGATATACGCAGCCTTATATACCCCCGATATGGCTACCCGTGGTGCACCCGGCCTAGTACCCAGGCCCTGTTGTATCTCGTGCCGTCAAAATATTTATTTCTGTCTTCTTCGCGGGCTCATTCGTCAGAAATAACATTTTTCGCATCTCATCGACTCCTCTACCGGTGTACATAATAATCCACTATCCTGTTAACTAACAGAAGGGTAACAGAAGCTCTGAAACCGTAAAGAGATCCTACCACATAATTAAAGGTGAGGTGCGCATTGCGTGCTTAATTTAGAGTGAGATTGTTGGATACAAAAAAAACAAAATGACACTAAGCGCCCTAGATGAATGGAAATGGAGGTGGAAATACAATGTTCCTAGCGTCGCGTAATTACTTGATTGCCTATTCAAAACTGTATACTCTATCTACTCTTGTTCAGAAAATATTTACCAAAGACAAATTTTCCATTTTAAAAATAGCAGAGTTTACCCTACGTTTGTACTTTTCTGAGTTTGATTGACAACCTCTAAGAAAACAAAGGGAGCCCACAGCCTTAGAATCTCCACTATTGGGGTCATCAGTGTCTCCGTCAAGAGAAAACACGGCAGTTGTTCTTGACGCACCTTTAATCACAAATAGGAACTGTTTCATATCTCTAAAGAAATTACTAAGCTCTAACCTCGTTCCCACGTCTTTCTTCTCAGAAACGCCCCTCGGAATTTTCGCGCGAAAGGCCCTAGCAACGAGGCCGTAACAGGTTCTACATTGCCGTCTCCTCTTATTTCCATACCCCTGCTGTTCCAGTTGTCTAAGCACCCACGCCTACTAGTCGGGGAAAAATTGACTTGGGAACCTGTCCCCTCCAAAATCAAACAAACAAACAAACAAACAAAACAAAATGACAGTGAAACTCACCTTTAAGATTTCATCTACATTCACAAAGCAGTCGTCGTCTGTTTTTAGAGTAAAATTAAACAACATGCTTCTCACAGTCCTAATATAAAAATGGAGAAAGGCAAAAAGTCACCTAAGCTATATCAGCTGGGAAAGATGCCGATACTTCATAATCACTAACTAGGTACTTGGGGCCTAAAGAGGACATTTTTCGATAAATAGACTGATCACAGTCCTGTATTTTTCCGTAAGATTGTCGAGATCGAGCGCGTTGCGTTACGGGCTGCCATCTTGCATGAGCGTCAAAACTACTAGGGGGCGGGGGCAGTTTGGGAGGAAGCTATAATCCCCGACGCCCGCCCCCTCGGTACATTTGAAAATTAAGATGGCCGTCATTAACGGTAAGACGCGCTATATCTCAACGATCTCAAGAAAAAATAGGGGGCCGTGAACAGTCTATTCGATAACCTGAGAAGCTATTATATCTAAGTGACGGCAAACCTCGGCTCGTACCAAGAATAAAACTTGAGAAGTTTCCGTGGAAGACTGCGATAGACATCTACAACATCAACCAAAAGAATATCATCAAACTGTGACATTTCACGCTGCAGTTCATTTTGTTCCCGTTGCAACACTGACTGCCACATCTCCTTCCTTTCTTGTCTTTGCTTTCTTCTTTCTTCTAACTTCACTTTAGAAAACTCGCCTTCTGCAGCTTAAATGCAGAAAATCTCGGGTTAAATTGTAATACGTTTTGAAGCACTCTGTCTCAATTTGCAAAGATTTTTTTTAAAAAAGTGGAGAGACTTTCGCCCTAACGAAGGTCAACCTTTCTGAAGAACATAAACGGTACAGTTTTGATATTGCATAACGATATTCGCAACAAAATTTATACCAATTTACACGGGTATTTTAAGAGTTGTTTTGATTGTCAAGAACATAATAAATATTTCAATAAAAACCAAATTTTATCGACAAGGAATCCTTATTTTTAGTCTGGATCAGGCCTGTTGTACCACAGTTGTATGCCTTGCTTTCCAAGCGTAAGGTCACGTGGCACTCGGGTAGCCAATCAGAACACAGAACTTACTTATACTTGTTAGCTCGCAGAGACAAACAGCCATATATTATACATCACTATCTTACCGTAAGCGCGATACATAAATGTTCCAGCTGCGTACTGGTTTATATCCTCATAAAATCTCTCTTCATTTTCTGGGAAGACGCTCTGTTCAAAACCGATTCTACTCACCTAGAAACATGACAAACCCGTACGTTAACAAGCGTATTTAACAGAAAGAGAATGTTTTATTTTTAAAAACTTATACTATTTTGTACGACATAGTCAGACGTATCAATTAACTGGCGATTGAAAACTGGCAAGACGTTTTGGAGGCAGATAATTGGCGGAGACCTTTAGATTCTAAGATGAGGACGACTATAAGAACGACATTATTTTTTTTTTCGTCGATCGAACATTGGGGAGCTTAAGCAACAACGACTGTGACGGCTACGAGAACGGCCAAAAAAAAAAAAAAAGCAACAGGCTTAGATGGGCAAAACAACAAGTTCTTTGCACGTGCTTCACGCTTTTTTGTACATTTCTTTGCCGGCCGTCGTTGCACGACTACAACGTGAAAGTGCCTTATTTCACGTTTTGTCGAAAACAGGAACACAAGATAACAACTTTCTTTTTCTTTTCCTGAACTTTGATACAGTCCTTTAGAATTCAACTCCAAAAACATTTGCAAACATCTGACGAATTAATCGAGATGGAATAAGCGCGATTAAGTTT